CCACTAGGGGACTGCCCACAGTACATATACTGCTACAAGGCGGCCCCTGTGCACAGGATCACATATATAAACGTGATCCTGCATTTCGGGGTAGGGGCACGCGTGAGGCGTGTGACCGCCCTACCTGCGGCACCAATTGCAGCCGCGGGTGTCAATCACCGGGTCCTGGCCAGTGATTACCCACCGGAGCCCGGCGATTGCTGGCAAACACTGACAGGGAGGAAGGCTTCATTGTTTTCAATGCAGCTCTCCTCCCTGTCAATTTTCAACACACTGTTCCGGAATCGCTGAGCTCAGCCTTCCGGAACAGTATGTAACAGACAAGTACACACCCCTGCCCCCTAGTAAAACACTCCCCTCACACAGTTAACCCTTTCATTGCCTCCAAATGTTAACCCCTTCCTCCCCAGTGCCATTAGTACAGTGTCAGTGGTTTTTTGTTTGCACTGATCACTGTATTGGTGTCACTGGGGATGTCAGTGACCCCAAGTCAGTTCCCCCTCAGTGTCAGAATGTCCGCTGCAGTCCTGCCATAAGTCGCTGATGGCCGCCATAAGTCGCTGATCACCACTATTATTAGTATACGAAAAAAAAATCCAGTATCTATACCGCCATTTGTAAATGCTATAACTTTCATGTAAACCAATTAATTTACACATAATGGGATTTTTTTTTAGAAAAGACATGTAGCAGAATACATTTTGGCCTAAATTTATGCTGAAATTTGATTTTTAAATTTTTTTACGTGACCTGTTTTATAGCAAAAAGTCCAAAATATTGTTTTTTTCCTCAAAAAGCAGTCATTTTTTTTATAGCGAAGAAAATAAAAAAAATGCACAGGCGATTAAAACCACCGAAAGAAAGCCCAATTCATGGGAAAAAAAGGAGGTAAATTTCATTTTTGTGCAGCATTGCATGACTGCGCAATTGTCAGTTAAAGTGACCATAACACAAACCGCTTATGTAACCGATTCCTGACCGCCCTGTAGCAGAAATACTGCTACAGGGTGGCACATGTGCGCAAAATCACATATATATACATGAATTACGCTCCCGTGGTTTTCACACCCCTCCCAGATAGTGTCAGATTGCCTGTCAGTACACCAGTAATCACATTTAACCCCTTGATTGCCAGGAAGACGCTCATACACAATAAACCTCCATTGCTAGCATAGTGTCTGAATGGATCAATATCTTTGATCAGATCAGCACTATACCAGCGTTCACATTAGTATAGCGTCCCCAAAAACGGAGCGTTAGCGGGATCAGCAATGGCACCTGCCAGCACCTGCATTTAGCCCTTACACTTACCCCCCCCCCTTCTCCCCCAGCAAGTGCAGTGTCAGTAGGTCACTGTCACTTGATACATTGCACACAAAACCGCAGTGTTGGCAGAATCAGGTCTGATCTTTTTTTTAGCACTTGCCGGTAAATTTTGATGACTCTTATATGCAGCAGAGTGCCAGTGCTAGTGCCATGCTACCTTCTGGTGAACTGGCGAGCACCAGAGGCCTAGTACATCTTGGTCTTTCACATACCTCTTAGATTGTAAGCTCCAAGGAGCAGGGCCCTCCTAACCCTCTTGTATTGAACTGTATTGTCTCCTGTTATATTGTAAAGCGCTGAGCAAACTGTTGGCATTATATAAATCCTGTATAATAATAATACCAGCACTGTAGTAAGACTTGGTGACGTGGCGAGTCCCATAAGTGTAGTACAAGCTGCTGCGGTGAAGAGCACAAGTATTGTTCCACAACCATCAAGAATTCGCACACAGGGCAGTAGAGCCCCTAGTATCCTTCCGGATGTGATTGCAAATCCCGATTGGCAGCCCACAAATTCTGCAGCACCCGTACTTCCCCCATTCACTGCCCAACCCGGAATTCAAGTGGAAACAACAAATTTAACTACTCCCCTTGATTTTTTGGAGCTATTTTTCACGAAAGATCTGTATGCATTGATTGTGGATCAAAGCACTTTATATGCACAACAAATTTATCGCCGCCAACCCAAGCTCAAACCCTTGCCAGACCATTCACATGGAAACTCATTATGGTTTCAGAATTTAAATTTTTTTGGACCTAACTCTCAACATGGGCATTACTAAAAAAAAAGTGAATTGCGGTTATATTGGTCTACAGACCCGATTCATTATATGCCCGTGTTCTCTGCTGCCATGGCCAGGCATAGATATGAGAGTATAATGTGTTTTATGCATTTTATACATTCTATCATCCTTGAGGTGACCCTGAATTTGACCAGCTCCACAAAAGTCAGCCCCTCATAAACCACCTTAACCAAAAATTTGCAGATGTCTATACTCCCCAGCAAAAAATCTGCGTTGATGAGTTCCTCATTAATTTTTCTGGCCATCTTGCCTTCAAACAATTTCTCCCCAGCAAGCATGCCAGATATGGGGTCAAGACCTGTGAGAGGGCAACAGGCTATACATATAAGTTTCGGATTTACGAGGGAAAAGATAGTCACGAGGAGCCCCCCCAGATGCCCAGACTACATGGGGAGCAGTGACAAGATAGTTTGGGACTTGGTGTCATCCTTTTTCCATACGGGGTACCACTTATAAGTGGACAATTTTTATTCAAGTGTGCCACTATTTAGATATTTGTACAATCTTGGAACTGGCGCATGTGGCACCATGAGACCTAATGTGTGCCCACCATTAGAAGTGGGTGGATGCAGGGCGGTATATTCTAATAGTGGGCATACCACACGCTTTTTCTGGCAAAGATTTCTTTTCTTTTTGTCATTCAGTCCACAGGCTGCATACAAAAAAAAAAAGAACAGAGCATATATACCCAACAAGGACCAGCGACGTACTGGTACATCACTGGACTTTGAATGGTTATACCAGGCTGATGCCTATAGCTGCAGGCATCATCATGGTATCATGTTTTTCAGCTGGAAATCGGCTTTCATGTAAAAGCAATCCTAGTGGCTAATTAGCTGCAGGATTGCTTTTACAAGCAGAGGGAGACAATGCCCCTCCCTCCCCTGCTTACGTCCACGGCCTTCTCAGACAGTCCCCGTGCCATCGGGGGAACCTGAGAATGCAGCTGAACATAGAGCTGATTGGAGACCAGAATGGTGCCAATCATCTCTATAGCCTAAGAAATCAGAAACTATGAGCATTTCATCAATTCAGTTTCCCAGGATATAAACAGCGCCATTTGTAAATTGGGAAAGCATCTGATCACACTGATCTTGGTTTGATTAGATAATGTAAGGGCAGAGGAGATATCTAGAGTCTGATAGAACCCAGATTTCTCAAAAAAGGATATATGACAATGCTCATTGAAGTTATAGGGGATATTTGCATTCCCTGTGATAGCATTAAAAGTGATCAAAAAAAAAAAAGGGACAGTGTACAAATAATTAAAAAAATCAAACGCACGCACCTCGTGAGCGTTGACCCTGTACCAGTATGGAAACAGCGGTTACACCATTCATGTGAGGTATCACCACAAACGTCAGATCAGGGGCAGTATTTATAAAACCAGACCTCCTCTGTAAATCTAAAATGGTAGCTTGTAAAGGCTTTTAAACGTTGCCTATGGATATTAAAAACATATGCAGTTTGTCGCCATTGCTTGGGGCATGCGCAGCTTTAAAGCATGTCATGTTTGGTATCTATTTACTCTGCATACCATCATCTTTTTATATTTTACCAAATAATTGGCCAATATATTGTGTTTTTGCGCATTAAACGTAATGTGTATTTTCTTTTAAATTGCATTTGAAAAATCGCTGCACGAGTACTGTCAGGGCTCCCAGGTATGACCAGAGGTGTGTGACTGAAGCAGGAAACGCAGACTTCAGATATGTGATTAACAATGTAATTTATTAACACTAACAATACAAACATAAATGCAGTGCAATACTAAACATAATACAGTGCAAACAAACCCAACCAACCACCCAGAGATAACAGTACATACAAGCAAGCGTCGTCAGGCAGGCCGAGTCAATATCAATTGGGCAGGTAGGTACAGGGGGAGCAAGCGGAGAATGGTCGGGGTCACAGGCCAGGTTCAGCAGGTAGCAAGCAGCGTAGTACAGAGGGTCAGGCAGAGGGATGGTCAGGGTCACAAGCCAGGGGATCAGAACAGGTAGCAAGCAGCGTAGTACAGAGGGTCAGGCAGAGGGATGGTCAGGGTCACAAGCCAGGGATCAGAACAGGTAGCAAAGGAACAGAAACAGGATGCAGGACAGATACAGGGCCCAGGACAAACACAACACCAAGGCAGAGTCTGCAAGTCTGGCCATCCCTTAAATACACCAGTATCATCAGTTCCAGGTGTTAGCTGGCTGAAAGGTTGAGTCTCTGATTGCTGGGAGCACCCGCTGGCCAGCCCTGGTACTGCAGATCAAAAGGCAGGTGAGTCCCACCATTGCTGGCCAGTCCATTCCTGACAGTACCCCCCCCTCAAGGAGCGGCCTCAGGACGCTCCAAACAGTCCTAGCTGGGAAAAATGTTCCACCGCCCGGGTCTGGTAACTGGCGGGATATCAAAGACTGGCACACCGGGCAGGACTCCGGGCAGCGGTACACCGGGCAGAGGCACATCGGGCTGGACTCCGGGCAGAGGCACATCGGGCTGGACTCCGGGCAGAGGCACATCGGGCTGGACTCCGGGCAGAGGCACATCGGGCTGGACTCCGGGCAGAGGCACATCGGGCTGGACTCCGGGCAGGCAGAGGCACATCGGGCTGGACTCCGGGCAGAGGCACATCGGGCTGGACTCCGGGCAGAGGGCACACCGGGCAGAGGCACATCGGGCTGGATTCCGGGCAGAGGCACATCGGGCAGGACTCCGGCAGAGGCACATCGGGCAGGACTCCGGGCAGAGGCACATCGGGCGACCAGGCGAAGCGGCAGGCACCGGGCCACCGGGCGGAGCGGCAGGCACCGGCCCCCAGGCGGGGCGACAGGCATCAGGCCCCCAGGCGGAACTACAGGTCTCGGGCCCTCAGGCGGAACTACAGGTCTCGGGCCCTCAGGCGGAGCGCGGCGGGGTGCCGGACCCCCAGATGGAGCGACAGGCCTCGGGCCCCCAGGCGAGGCGACAGGCATCGGACCCCCAGGCGGGGCGACAGGCATCGGGCCCCCAGGCGGGGCGACAGGCATCGGGCCCCCAGGCGGGGCGGCGGGCGCCGGACCCCCGGGTGGAGCGACAGGTCTCGTGCCCTCAGGCGGAGCGGCGGGCGCCGGACCCCCAGGTGGAGCAACAGGCATCGGGCCCCAGGCGGGGCGACAGGCATCGGGCCCCCAGGCGGGGCGACAGGCATCGGGCCCCCAGGCGGAGCGGTGGGCGCCGGACCCCCAGGCGGAGCGGTGGGCGCCGGACCCCCCCAGGTGGAGCGACAGGTCTCGGGCCCCTCAGGCGGAGCGGCGGGCGCCGGGGACCCCCAGGTGGAGCGACAGGTCTCGGGCCCTCAGGCGGAGCGGCGGGCGGCCGGACCCCCAGGTGGAGCGACAGGTCTCGGGCCCTCAGGCGGAGCGGCGGGCGCCGGACCCCCAGGCGGTGCGACAGGTCTCGGGCCCTCAGGCGGAGCGAACAGGGTCTCGGGCCCCCCAGGCGGGGCGGCGGGCATCGGGCCCCCAGGCGGGGCGACAGGCATCAGGCCCCCAGGCGGAGCGGCTGGGGGCGGTGGGCGCCGGACCCCCAGGTTGGAGCGACAGGTCTCGGGCCCTCAGGCGGAGCGGCGGGCGCCGGACCCCCAGGCGGTGCGACAGGTCTCGGGCCCTCAGGCGGAGCGACAGGTCTCGGGCCCCCAGGCGGGGCGGCGGGCGCCGGACCCCCAGGTGGAGCGGCGGGCGCTGGACCCCCAGGCGGAGCGACAGGTCTCGGGCCCCCAGGCGGAGCAGCGGGCACCGAGTCACCAGGCACGACAGTGGGCTCCGAGTCAACTGGCATGACCGCTGGCACTAGGTCAGACATTGGATCGTCTGGCTGGACAGCGGGCATCGGGTCACCAGGCATCAGGTCATTTGGCTCGACAGCGGGCACCGCGTCATCTGGCAAGGCAGTGGGCTCCGAGTCAACTGGTATGACCGCGGGCACTGGGTCAGACATTGAATCGTCTGGCTGGACAGCGGGCATTGGGTCACCAGGCATCAGGTCATTTGGCTCAACAGCGGGCACCGCGTCATCTGGCAAGGCAGTGGGCTCCGAGTCAACAGGCACGACAGTGGGCACCGGGTCATCAGGTACCGGATTGTCTGGCTCGACAGCAGGCATCGGGTCACCAGGTATGACAGCGGGCACTGGGTCACCAGGCATCAGGTCATTTGGCTTGCCAGCGGGCACCGCGTCATCTGGCAAGGCAGTGGGCACCGGGTCACCAGGCATTGGATCGTCTGGCTCGACAGCGGGCATCGGGTCACCAGGTATGACAGCGGGCACTGGGTCACCAGGCATCAGGTCATCTGGCAAGGCAGTGGGCACCGAGTCACCAGGTACGACAGCGGGCTCTGAGTCAATTGGCACGACAGCGGGCACCGGATCAGGTACCGGATCATCTGGATCAACAGCGGGCATCGAGTCAACTGGCCTAATAGGATCGTCAGGCTGGATCAGTTCATCATGCTGGGTAGAGGCATCAGGCTGAATGCCGGCATCCGGCTGAGTAGAGGCTTCAGGCCGAGTAGAGGCTTCAGGCCGAGTAGAGGCATCAGGCCGAGTAGAGGCATCAGGCCGAGTAGAGGCTTCAGGCCGAGTAGAGGCTTCAGGCCGAGTAGAGGCATCAGGCCGAGTAGAGGCTTCAGGCCGAGTAGAGGCTTCAGGCCGAGTAGAGGCATCAGGCCGAGTAGAGGCATCAGGCCGAGTAGAGGCCTCAGGCCGAGTAGAGGCTTCAGGCTGAAGAGAGGCTTCAGGCTGAAGAGAGGCATCAGGCTGCATAAGGCATCAGGCTGAAGAGAGGCATCAGGCTGCGTACCGGCATCAGGCTGAAGAGAGGCATCAGGCTGCGTACAGGCATCAGGCCGAGTACAGGCATCAGGCTGAGTAGAGGCTTCAGGCTGAGTAGAGGCTTCAGGCTGAACCACGGAAGGCAGGTTCACCGGTTTGGATACTGGCAGGATGGTATTGGTTGGAAAGAATTTTCGCTTTTTTCTGGTTTTAAACTACTGGAGCACTGCAAGTAAACGCAGGTCTGCAAACGAATGGAGCAGCTGGAGACAGAGAAGAACTGGAGGATGGAACAGGAGAGGGAAAGCAGCAGTTGCTACAGAGGGCTTTTTTACAGGGTTAAAGGCAGGATAGGTGCAGCGAGTGGGAACAGGGTACTGACATGCGGTAGATAGCCAAGTATACTGGGCTGTAAAATGGAGGAGCTGTTGGGAATACAGGAGTAGAGTTAGAAGCAGGACTGGGTTTTTGTAAGCTGACTGAGGCTGGGTGCAACAAGTCTGTCCATGTCTGCAGTATGGGTTGAACAAAGCTGAGCTTACACAAAGCCTGTCTGGTCAATGACTGCACTGCGTTTATACAATCTCTTAGTGTCTGTGGTGAACATGTGGAATAACGCTCCAGAAAGTAACCCACATCATCCTCTAATAACCACACCAGGGACTCTACCTGGTCTGCACTAAATGGTGGCAAAAATTCATCCCTGCATTCGGGGGGGTACCAGATGAAACCAACTCTGCACAAACCTCAATCAAAGGCTGCACCTCAGAGAACTCTGTGCCCTGATCTACTAGAACATGAGCGAGCCGTATACATTCTAGCAGTTCATCCCTGGGATACTCCTTCAGAGTTTGATAAGCATATACTCCCTGTCATCAAACACTAGCAGATATAAATACGCAACCTCATCCAGATCCATCCTTACCATCAACAAGCCAAGATGGCTTCCCTGTGCAGCCACTTCTGGTCAGGATTGGCCTTGGTGTAATGTCAGGGCTCCCAGGTATGACCAGAGGTGTGTGACTGAAGCAGGGAAACGCAGACTTCAGATATGTGATAAACAATACAATTTATTAACACTAACAATACAAACATAAATGCAGTGCAATACTAAACATAATACAGTGCAAACAAACCCAACCAACCACCCAGAGATAACAGTACATACAAGCAAGCGTCGTCAGGCAGGCCGAGTCAATATCAATTGGGCAGGTAGGTACAGGGGGAGCAAGCGGGAGAATGGTCGGGGTCACAGGCCAGGTTCAGCAGGTAGCAAGCAGCGTAGTACAGAGGGTCAGGCAGAGGGATGGTCAGGGTCACAAGCCAGGGATCAGAACAGGTAGCAAGCAGCGTAGTACAGAGGGTCAGGCAGAGGGATGGTCAGGGTCACAAGCCAGGGATCAGAACAGGTAGCAAAGGAACAGAAACAGGATGCAGGACAGATACAGGGCCCAGGACAAACACAACACCAAGGCAGAGTCTGCAAGTCTGGCCATCCCTTAAATACACCAGTATCATCAGTTCCAGGTGTTAGCTGGCTGAAAGGTTGAGTCTCTGATTGCTGGGAGCACACCCGCTGGCCAGCCCTGGTACTGCAGATCAAAAGGCAGGTGAGTCCCACCATTGCTGGCCAGTCCATTCCTGACAAGTACTATGTGACATAAAACATTGCAGCACCCACCATTTGATTCACTAGGGTGTTTTCTTTAAAAAAAATATATAATGTTTGGGGTTTAAATCAATTTCCTAGCAAAAAATACTGATTTTTTGCATGTGAACAAAAAGTGTCAAAAAAGGCTTGGTCTTCAGGTGGTTAGAAGAGTGAATGATGTGTGGCATAAACTGCTAATGCTGGGCATAAAATGCCCCCATCCCCCAAAATGACCCCTTTTTGGAAAAAGTAGACACCCAAAAACTATTTTCTGAGAGGCATGTTGAATCAATAGAAGAATTTATTTTTTTACCACAAGCTTTTGAAAAATGACAAACAAAATGTATCATTGGATTTTTTTTTTTACACAAAATTCTCACTTAAATGATTTATTGATCACACATGCCATGGTGGTGTAATTCCACATATACCCATGGCTTGCGTGAGAAATATATCATTTAAATGATAACTTTGTGTAAAAAAAAATGTTTTTGTCATTTTCCAGAAACTTGTGGCAAAAAAAATAAATCTTCCATGGACTCAATATGCCTCTCAGCAGATAGCTTAGGGTGTCTACTTTCTGAAAAGGGGTCATTTGGGGGTGTGTTTGTACTATCCTGGTATTTTAGCATCTCAAGAAATGTGATGGGCAGTCAGAAAGTAAAAGCTGTGTAAATTTTCATTATCTATACCATAGTTTGTAGAGGCTATAACTTTTACACAAATCAATATACACTTATTGGGATTTTTTTTAACCAAAAACATGTAGCAGAATACATTTTGGCCTATATTTATGACATTTTTAGGTTTTTTTGGATAATTGTTATGACAGAAATGAGAAAAAATATTTTTGTTTAAAGAGCTAAACATAAAAAGCACACAGGTGATCAAATACCACCAAAAGAAAGCTCTATTTGTGTGAAAAAAAGGACATAAATTTCATTTATGTACCGCATTGCATGACTGCGCAATTGTCAGTTAAACTAGTGCAGCGTTGTATAGCAAAAAAATGGCGTAAATTGCAGTATCTATACTATAGTTTGTAGACACTATAACTTTCACACAAATCAATCAATATATATGACTGACTATTGGGATTTTTTGTTACCAAAAACATGGAGCAGAATACATTTTGGCCTAAATTTATAACTAACTTTGAGTTTACTATATATTTTTTATAGCCGAAAGTAAAAAATATTGTGTTACTTCAAATTTTCAGTCTTTTTTTGTTTATAGCGCAAAAAATAAAAAGCGCACAGGTGATCAAATACCACCAAAAGAAAGCTCTATTTGTGTGAAAAAAGGACGTAAATTTTGCTTGGGTACAGCATTGCATGACCGCAGCAATTATCAGTTGAATTAGTACAGCGCCGAGTAGCAAAAAGAGGCCTGGTCATTAAGGGGGGTAAATCCTCTAGAGGGCAAGTGGTTAAACAGTGCAAACAATAAGTAAGCATTAATTATATTAACAATACTCAAGTAATCTACCTGGCTTTATGAAGAAAAAGTCAAAACAACATGAGAAAAGACTTTTTTAAAAATCTGCTAAATAATTATAAACTTTAGTTTCTTCTCAAAAAAATTCAAAAATAGCCTTATGAGGCAAACCAACATTCTGCTAGTTAGGTCTGCTCAGTTTGCTCAACTGCTGCCAGCCTGAAAGCTCCCTCTGCATCCAGAAAGCCTGAGAAATTTCTACATAATAGGTGTGGAGCTATATATATGGCAGCATGAATATTGATACACTGGGCTCTGGGTCTTTTCCTGTCCAGCCTGGAAGAGGGCACATTGCCCTCCCAGGTAACTACTGCCATGTGACCTAAGGTGGGTGACCTGAGGCCTGAATGAATGAGGGGTCTGTCTACTGAAGGTCTCGTCCGGTATCATGGCGTAGGGTGTCCAGCTGCTCTTGGGCCTTGTGAATACAGACAAGGATCTAAAGGATCTTAGAGATTTTGTCCTCTGGTGCTAGGGGGTCAACTGAGGTTCTAGGCAAAAGGGGACACTGACTGGTGTTTCCAAAGAGCTTTGTTCATTTCATTTC